GTGTGTGATATTATTACGTGGTTTTACAGAAGCGAATAGGTAACGAAAAATTTTCCGTGTCACCGTGGAAAAAAAAATCTAAAAATTCTGTTTGTATGTGCATATTATAATACAAATTTAGGTAAATGTTTATTTTGTCGAAATAGGAATTATCTGTATACATCGTTTGACAGATATAGGTTAGAGTGAGGGATAGTTTAATGCCTGTTATTAATGCAGTCAGACATAATTGTACCAGATTGTGCAAGGAGTTATGAACGGGATACAGTATTGTTGCCTTGTATTACATATGTCCATGCATTAGATCCATAATACACTTTACCAATGCAATATGGCAATGTACTTCTGTACCGCTATCTTTTTAATGTGATACTTACCTGTTTCCAACAAGAAGTGGACCATAAAGCATCCTTCAATGAGAAAGTAAGTAAATTCCACAATTAAAAGTAAATAGTGCTTACCATTATTCGATAAGTATTTTTCTGTGCTTAAACTATGTCTGCTATCATAGTAAATAGTTGGCAAATTGAAATACCATATCCTAACACAGTGCGCAGTGAATGGAATTAAGTGATCTATATATAAAGATTGTATGAAAATTATGCTTATACGCTATTTTGCTTATAGACTTTATATTTGAAACTTTGCCGGAAGTATTGAATTTTTAACGCTATAATTTTTATGTCAATATTGGGTTTTGTATATTTAAAATATTAATTTGGATGTAGTTATCTGCGTACATAAGGCAGAAATAAGATAATAACCGAGAGAAAATGATTGATTTTTCAAGGATGATTAAGATGATAATAAATCAGATCAATGAACGTGACACGGAACTCTTTTTAGTGGGATTGTATATTTGAAGGTCCCATTATTCGAGTCCTGTGATATGTTGTTGATGATCAGCTGGTGTCTAATGGTGATTTACAAGAAAAAGCTGTTTTGCACTGAGAAAAGAAAATTTGACGTTAAACTAGATGAAATTCTCCGTACCATGAACTAGGATCTTTCAAAAATATTGAAAATTAACAAAGTGACAATGGTTTGAAAATAAAATTCCCTTATTGCTAAAAAAACGCTCGTTTTTTGCTTGGAAAACTTGCAATTGTTATAATATCAAAATGATCCTAGTTCCTGGTACGAAGAATTTTATCTAGTTTAACGTCAAATTTTGTTTTCTCTGATACTGACATTCTGAAGACGTCTACAACTGTAGCCGATTGACAACTTCATTCTTGGAGGCGCAACGTATAACTCGTATTAGACTCGATATTTTTGCGTGAAATTTTTTGTACTTACTTGTTAAAAGTGTCTAAATATATCCTTAAAACTTGAAAATATTTGTCTGCTTAGTCTTTTTTTTTAGCCCTGGAAAATCACCTTCCTTTTATACCCGAGAAACTAGTGTAGCCCCTTAATAGTAATTCTTAATGTTCTACACATCCAGAATAAACATAATATATAAAAGATGTACAGTTTCTATTGTAATGCTTGGACAAATGGTAAGAATGCAATTTCTTATTTGCACTTTTTCTGTATTATATAGTATAAGGTACAGTTCTCATTATCTTCTTCTATCTTTCAATAAATACTTGATTACTTAAAGTTTATATATCCAAAAAAATGTTATAATAATGAGATGGTTATTTAATTGATAGAAGAAATGAAAGGGAAAGGAGGCAATAAGAGCGAATACATACAATTCATATGGAATTACTTTATTAATTACAAACATTTAGTCATTCCATGCATGCATTAATGATTAATATAAATATGTGAAAATTTATTTCTAGTCATACTACGTAGATCACACCGCATCATCTTATTCTTCAATAATCTGTAACACATAGAAGAAACCATATTTTAATCGTACATTAACATAGGGTTTAAAATAAAAATAGAAATTACAATTTTCATATGAACACTACATACAGATCCTTCCGTTGTACTCTCTGGCAGATCGTAGTATTTCAACTGCGTAATTGGAATAGTCTACACTAACGTACATCACATCACATCATCTTATGCTTCAATAATCTGTAACACATACAAACCATATTTTAGGTACAAATTAACGTGGAGCTTAAAATAAAAATAGAAATCATAATTTTCATACACACATTATATATGGATCACTTAACTTAATTTCTTCTGTTGTACACTCCGTCTAGTTGTAGTATTTTTTTAATTTAACTGGCTACTTTTCCTTCTTAAAACATCCGATTCATCCCTTCATTTCCTCTTATTTTTGGATGACTGTAACTGTCTAGATCAATCGAAGACTGTAGAAACAGAAAATGCACAAAAATTTACAACGATATTGCATATATATACTTTAAGCATACAAAACTACTTATCAAATAATGGAAAGCACTATCTACTTTTAATTGTGGATTTTACTTACTCTTTTGTTGAAGGATCCTATATGGTCCTAAAAAAATAGCAGTATTAAAGTTCATTGTCATGTCGCACTGGTAAAGACTACTATGGTTCTAATGCGTGCACATATGTAATACAAGACGTGTAATGGCTATTAATACAGATCAAAGTGCAAAACGGCTTTTTCTTGTAAATCACCATTAGACACCAGCTGATCATCAACAACATATCACAGGACTCGAATAATGGGACCTTCAAATATACAATCCCACTAAAAAGAGTTCCGTGTCACGTTCATTGATCTGACTTATTATCATCTTAATCATCCTTGAAAAATCAATCATTTTCTCCTCGGTTATTATCTTATTTCTGCCTTACGTACGCAGATAACTACATCCAAATTAATATTTTAAATGTACAAAACCCAATATTGACATAAAAATTATAGCGTTAAATATGCAATACTTCCAGCAAAGTTTCAAATACAAAGTGTATAAGCAAAACAGCGTGTAAGCATAATTTTCATACAATTTTTATCTATAGATCACTTAATTCCTTTCATTGCGCACTGTGTTAAGATATGATATTTTGACTGACCAACTATTTACTACACATACTATTTCCTCACTCTAACCTATATCTGCAAATGATGTATACAGATGGTTCCTATTTCAACAAAATAAAGATTTACCTAAATTTGTTCTATAAGATGCACACACAAACACGATTTATAAATATTTGTTTCCACCAAAGCACGGAAGATTTTTCTTCACTTATTCGCTTCTGTAAAACCACGTTACAATCTCATTCACACGAAACGCGTAGAAAACCTCATACCTGCACATACCACATTGTATCAGATCCACATTAAATAGATTCCAAACTATATTTAACTGTATGTATCAGAATACAATATCACCATACGTAGCATTTGAAAAGCAATGATTATTGTATGTATTATATTTACAGCATATAACTGTCACAAAACACATTAATTTCCACTCACACAATTGCATGAAAAACGACATACAAATTAAAATCAGATCCAAATCTACTAAATACCAAATCATATTTATTTAGAATCGATGTCTCATTGTATTGAACATCGCAGAAACTTTTCAATCTTAGACCGAGAGAAGACGGTTATAGAGAAAAATCGATTGTTAATTAGATGACGCAATGAAACAATAAAAATCGAAAAAATCAATAATTTCACTTTTTCTCTACATATTTTCACGATCAACGCTTTATTTTACTGGAAATCGCTAATACTTTTTAATTTGTTAATCGAAGACGTCGATTAACATACAGGAAGTCTTGCTTGGACTGTCTTATACGTGTCTCGTACGTGCTTGTACGAAATAAAGTGTCGATTACGATATACTGTTTTTATTTAAATACTTGGACAAATGGCAAAAATATTAAATAAAGTGGTGCACTTACGATCTCGCAAGTTAGATTGGGAAATATGTTTAAGGTAAAAGAAATATTAAATATTTTATTTCAAATTAGAGTATGTTAGACATGATTTATTTATTTTTTGTACAAATATAAATATGACCGCATGATAGTTTTATTGTCGAAATGCATGGTTTGCAGCAGCAAATTCTTTCTCCAGATTCTTCATCTATTTCATAACACAAAGACAGAATATGTATATTAAAATGCAGTTAACTTTAAAATACTACAAAACATGTGTGTGATAACGTGCATTTGTGAAATTTAATTTTGCATTGATAGACAAAAAAATTATATTATATATTATCATGTATTATATCTGTTATCGATTTGTAAACACCCTATTGTATTTTACATATAACTCAATTCCTGTCAATTAAAGTCATACATCTTATCCATCTTTCCTATTTTTATTTAAAAATTGAACTTAAAGCAACATTACAACTTTCTATTGGGCATTATAATATTCTACATGTATTATTTATTGTTTGTGTGCAAAAAATGAACTGAATGTTTTAAAATACTTAAGAAAAATTGAATCATTGCAATAACATGTACAATAGTGGTATTTTGTTAAAATCATACACCTTCTAAACCATCCAGTAAACTCTGAATATTTCTGATGTTACAACCTTTAATGAGCATGTTTCATATATGTTGTCTGCCAAATGTAAATTATTTTGTTGCAGTACTTATAGTTTTTGAAAAAATCGAATTAGAACAAAATGTGTACATTTTTAACTATATAGCTGGTTCTATGTTCTTTCGATAGCAGCTATTCAGTTCTTTCTGACAATAAACAGTTGTATGCATTCCTTTGAGCAAAATGGTATAAATTACTATTACATTATAAACACATAAATATGTTTGAATAACAACACAAGAAAAAAGAATAAAAATTCTATCAGAAAAGCTAATTACAGCACATGACAGATAAAACATTTTTATGAAGTAAATCATTAAAGGAAGGTTATCCATGCGATAGTTATGTGCAGTCCACTTAATCATTATCTTTATTATTATATTAATTATTATTTAGTTAGCATTTTCCTACAATGTATATTCTGTAAATATTCTTTTGTGAACTCTGATTGTAACTTTTATCTATGTTTTGACATTAAAGTGTAGTTGAATAAGTTAAGTGCATGCCATTTATTTCCCAGTTCTCAATTCGATTCATTTTTTACATACAAATAAGAAATAACATATATGGAATATTATTTGTAGTACACAGTTGTCATGTTGATTTAAGTTTAATTTTTAATTAAAAAATAAAGAAAATGCATAAGATGTGCAAGCTTAACAGACAAAAATTGTATATCATTTACACAGTATTTATCAAAGATAATAAGTAAATGTTGATAAATTATTGAATAAAAACCAAAAGTAAAGATATGAATATTATTAATTATTGAATAAAAACCAAAAGTAAAGATATGAATATGTAAAAAATTTACCTTCTATTCAATTCTGTTCAGTATTATTACTGGCATCTGAAATACTGTGCGTATAAACACTGGCATCTGAAAACAAATACTGATTAATAAAATGTATCAAAAAACTTGCACATTGTCTAAAAATGTCAGTAGAGATTAAACATACTTTCTGTTATATTGTCCACATTTATGTACAAATCTTCTAATGCTTTTGTGCACATATCATTCAAATCATGACTGTTTGTAGAAGAAACATCACCTAAAACACATACCTATACATTAAATAAGAATAAATAATACAAAATATTCAGTTCATTATAACAGTTGATGCAATGAATAATAAATACTATCAAACAGTAGATAAATTAGAGACATGTACCATCATTATGTGTGATGTCGAGTAATCCATTATCTGAAAAAAGATTAACAAATCACTGGACTAAATTAGAATGGAACGTAAAACAGTTAAGAGAATTCATGTCGGTTGTGGATTGGAGTTATTACCTATACTGAATGTTTCGTCTGTGGGAGTTTCGATATATGCACCACTTTGATCACAATCTAAAAATGAATTAAATAAACTTCGTTAAAATATACGCGGAATGATGCATTGTTAAAGTATACAAGAGTATGAAAACGTACCTCTTGACAACAAATCGTCAACATGTTGCTGTTGAACGTTTGCTGTTTTCTATGATGAATAACAATGATGAATAACAATGTACAATCAGAAATAATAATTGCTTTTTCATATATTTTTATATGCATTCTTCTGTGTGACTATACAATTTTTCAGGATTTCGATTATTTTATAGTATTAATTATTATGACATATCTTTTACAGTTGTAAAATATAACACACAATGGAAATTTTAAAGGGGAAACGAGAAAATACTTTTGTATATGTATACGAAGGATATCCTTATAATAGAAATTCAAAGAATCATAACATTTGTAGATGTTCTTGTCGTCAGACAGAACATTGTACAGGGACACTACTTTACAAAAATGAACAATTTATTCTTCAAAAGCAGCATACACATAGTAGCAACTCGCAATATGCAGAAATCTTAAAATTAAAATCAGCAATTTTAGAAGAATGTCGAAAAACTCCTTCAATAAATAATAAAATCATATTTGACAATATTTGTCGCCGGAATCCAAATGCAGCAGTACATATTTCATATAATACTTTGAAATCTATTATATCCCGAGAGAAGTTAAAGTCTCGCCCCCCACTGCCAAAAACTGTGCAATGTACGCATGAAATTCTTCAAAATTATGATGCGCTGGAGGACATTTATATGGGATGCGCAATTTCAAATAATAATAAATATGCACTGATATTCTCGAATACCACATTGTTAACCGCATTAGGAAATACAAAAGAAATTTACATGAATGGTACTTTTTCTGTAAGTATCTAAGGTAAACAATTTATGTGGTTAATACTTTTCAAGTGAAGAAAGTTAATTTTAGCATTTCTGATCTCTTTTCAGGTTGTCCCGCATACTCCTCCTTTCCAACAGCTCTATACAATGTACATACGTTATAATGACACGGTATACCATTATTGATCATTCTTGTTAGGCTTATCTCATACTATCAAACTAAAAAATGATGACAATTTACAGGGAATCACTACCATATTTGCACTATGCGAATGTCGCACTGCGGCAATGTATGAAGCTATATTTAAGAAAATTGTTTCACTTGTTCCGCAACTACAAGGTAATTTACAAACTGTAATGTGCGATTATGAAAAGGCTCCAATGGAAGTTATTCAAGCACAGTTCCCAACAGTTACTATACATGGTTGTTGGTTCCATTTTACTCAGGTACAATATAACTGTTAACATTACTCGCGTATTTTTTCTACAATTTGTCTCATGAAAGTATTTAATGAAGAATTGAATGATCCTTCTTTATTATTCAGGCTCTTTTGAGGAGATGTAGAAAATTAGGATTACACGGAACACCAACTGAAATTCTATCAATGGCTATGACAATGGCTTTAGCACCAGCGCATATGCCAGCGTACTGCTGTTTATGGCCTATTTACGCAATGTATGGCTCCCCATATCTACACGGGTCAGTGTATATGGCTGTACAGTTCGTACTAATAACCTGGTTGAATCTTTCCACAGTGCTGTAATCAGGAAATTAAGGATTGCTCATCCAAATTTTTGGTTTTTCATAGATATAAATATCATTATTATTGCAGTTAACTTATGTTTATCATTAATAATAGGATGAATGTACGATACAAGATCAAAGGCAAGAAAAATATATACGAAATGTGTGCAAACGCTAGTTATATTGGAGAAATAAAATTAAAAAGAAAAATGTACTACAATGAAGTAGCTCTGTATTTTGTTTCTAATTTTCTTTTGTATTATGTTGTACAGTAATACATGACTCAAATGAATAACTTACATATGTTTCTTCAGTTGATGGATAGGTGTTTGACACTTTTGTTCGACTGTATGTTTTGACAATTCTGCTCCAATTGTAATTGTTTTAACACGTTCATTGCAAAGCTGAAAATTGGAATTTTGTATGGTGGTCAAATTTTCTATTTCGTTTTTGTTGTACTCAAAATAAGTTACTGTATAATTATGTATAATTATTTATATTTATACAAAGTATCCTATGCAACTGGAACAAGCTGTACTTCCTAACTGGTTGGAAATAGAAAAAATGTTATAAGTGAAAGTTAAATAGTTTGGGATGGTGCATAATGTGTAACTAATTTTATGCATTTTGTGCATCGGTCCATCAGAAAAATGCAACTGCACTTTTTTTAGACATGGAAACCTATATTTTTGATAACATAGATCGATGTAGTTTCTTGTGTTCTACAAAAAAGTACTAACATATTTATGCCCTAAACTTGTTCTTGTATTTACACGTGTATTGCATGCAATACACAAAGCAACATGTAAAGTTGGGATACCAGATAGTTCGTATGCCTTGTAAATTTGTGTCAAAATATTGTTAGTCCAAATCAGCTGAAGGGCACTTTTGACCACCGTATCCTGCTACCCTTTATTAAATGAAGTAGAAACTAATGTACTTATTGGTTATTCTGTAAATCAACTGAGAAATTTGTATTAAGAGATGTTGTTATATAACAAGAGTATTAAGATTAAATCAAATGAAGATACACAAATTTACAACATATAAATTCTATCTGATGTCCCAACTTTATATGTACTTTCCAAATAGTTTTAACATATAGCGATGTTTCTATGGCAACGATAAATATATTAACTCATCAGATTCTGGAATAGATTGGACTTTACTTTGGGGTACCAAAATTTATTGACTTTTTTAATACCATTTACTTGCTGTTGATGTCTAGATTACAAAAACAGAAGTTTTAGTGTTAGCCAATGGTTTAAAAGTTATGCGTACATAAAGTTGAGCACTTTTGGTGTATCTACTGGTTAATCCGACACGATATTGACTTTTACCAATGCTCTTTTGATCAATTAGATAGAGAACCTGCGAAATATATCAAACATTCCTAACATTAAAACTTAGATTTATGAATTCTAGGCATCAAAGACTAAATGGTACAATAAAAAAAAAGTCAATAAAGTTGGATGCCCCAAAGTAAAGTTCAACTCTAGATATCAATTACATTTATTTTTCTAATCTTAATGTGGTTTTTTATTTTTAAATACAGATAATTTAATAAATCTGATTGAGGATCAGGAAACAAATTATAAAAGATTATTGAACAATGAAAAAATAAAAATGATACGAACACGCGTGAACAAAGCAAAAAATAAAAATATAACAATGGCACAAGATAATTTAATGTCTGGAACACTGCCGTTAGATCAGTTTTTATGCTTCTTTAGCAATGACTATAAACAAGAGCAATACGAGACTGATTTAATGCCAATAGGTATGTTGAATTCGTATAAATTATACTCATGCATATTATTCATTATATAATTACTATGAAATAATACACAACATTGTATTTTTATCTGAATAAAATGTATTGTTTTACACAATATATTACAGAGTCTGACGAAGATGATCAATCTAATGAACTGTTTCCAAAATCATTCATTGCAGGTATTTTCTTTTAAGCGTAAGCAATATATCTGTTGACTGGTGCAAGAAATGTCAATGTCAGCTTTTTCGAGATAAAAATATTAGCACTTAGAATTATGTTCACATAATTTCTGATACAGAAGTTTCTGCTTTTTCAAATTTTTCCAATACATATACAGAAAGAATTAAAGCTTATGTTTTTTGTGTTTTTTCCTCAAAGAAGCAAGTTTATTGATCAAGTTCAATTGATGACAAATTTTGATGTTGGCATATATGAGTAACCTCCTTTTTAAAAGTCGATTAATAAATACTATAGTCATGTCTAGGTAGAATTTGAGATTGTCATTTTATATGTATAATTCCCCACAAATTCAATACCAGTTAGAAATCATTTTTACAAAAAAAAAAAGGAAGTGACGTTTCTAGCATCAGGCCGCTGAATGTTTCCTTTGTTGTTTTTCTTTTATTTACCTTCACTTTTTCAGAAGAGGTTTCCACTGTATCCAATGAGAAATATAATAAACTTTTTCCAGAAATACTATTGTTAGCAGGTATTTTCTTTGCAGCAAAAGTAATATACAGAATGTCTCAGAATTAGTGTAAGTTTCAGAAATGGGGAATAATTAAGACGATTCTGAATAACGTTATCCGCTTTCTCGATAAATATTTCTATCTTCCAGATCTTTTACGCATTAATTCAAACTTTGGTATCTCCTCTTTCACGGGTCATTTTAATTTTTTAACATTTACATATTTTCACCCATTTTTTAATGCACATATGCTGTACATTCCAACGATTCTCATTTTAAACATAGACTGTAATTTATGATGATAAATAGTCATTAATATTTTTTAACGATTACGTATTTGAAGGTAGAAAACGTAATTTCTTAATTAAATGTACAGATTTGAATACCTTCTATTTTGATCATTAACGTTTAATATAAAAAAAAAAGTTATATTTGTTTACAGATATCATTATAAATAGGACATTTTATGTGTTAGAACCTCTCACTTATATTACCACGTGCTGTTTTACCGAACTACTTGTTAGATGTCTGGCACGAGCGTCTTTGCTAACACTAATGCTCTGAGCACGCGTTAATCGGGTGCTGTGATTAGACGGTGTTTTTCGTTAATAATTAAAAAATCGAAGCACCTTCTGATATTTTTGCAAAGGAAATTGTTATTCAGAATTGTCTCAGTTATCCTCCATTTCCGATTCTTACACTAATTTTGGATATATTCCTTATTATTCTTATTTTTGTATACTTTTTTCCACTTCTTCAGAAGACGTACTAACTTCACCTAATAATGAATCCTATAAAAATCAGGAAATACACACACCCACAATAGAAGGTATATATACTATGCCCATTTTCTCTTACATTCGTGACATACCATTTTTATCTATATCCTTTTTTAGATTATAGTGGCGCAAAGTCAGCCGAAATTCATATATGTGCCCAAAATGTACACAAAATTACTGCGGATACAGAGAGTACGTATATATTGTTTAGTGTATACACCTTATTAGTGCTTGGTAGATGTTATAAAATTTTCTACATGTTCATTTATTGTAGATAACAAGAGGCAGAAACTTGAATCAAAAAAATATACTCAAAGGAGCAATATGAATCCACAAGTTGTTTTAGAAAAAATGTCTATGTAATAGACCGATGAATTATGGATTGTTTATTAATTTGACCGTGATTTTATATAGGTTGATAGAATTTAAATGTCAAAACTTTCGGAACACGTAGGGCACCGATAAACTAAGAAAAAAGTACTTAAAAGATTTCCTAGAGAGTTCCTATTTCGACAAAATAAACATTTACCTAAATTTGTATTATAAGATGCACACACAAACACGATTTATAAATATTTGTTTCCACCAAAGCACGGAAGATTTTTCTTCACTTATTCGCTTCTGTAAAACCACGTTACAATCTCATTCACACGAAACGCGTAGAAAACCTCATACCTGCACATACCACATTGTATCAGATTCAAATTGAATATATTTCGAAATTTCACGAAATGCAATAGCTCTTTAAGTTTTGCAAACACAATACTAGCGAAACAATACAGATTAATGTGAATACTTAAATAACTATCTTGTTATTATAATATTTTTTTTATACATATAAACTTTAAGTAATGAAGTATTTATTTAAAGATAGGAGATGATAATAAGAACCGTACCTTATACTATATAATACAGAAGAAATGCAAATAAGAAATTACATTTTCACCATTTGTCCAAGCATTACTATAGAAACTGTATATTTTTTATATATTATGTTTAGTCTGGATGATCAAAGCATTTTATTACATAGAGGATTGTTTAATTAGAGTAATTGTTACGTCTGCCTAATTTCAATTATAAGTATGTATTCTTCAAGTAGACACATTATGAGATACTGCGAAACTTGTCAACACATAGAATACACAAAACTAAAAACTGCAGTTTGTACTGTTGAAGCATAACACCAATTAAAGCATGTAATGGCTATTAATATAGATCAAAGTGCGAAACTGCTTTTTCTTGTAAATCACCAGTAAACACCAGCTGATTATCAACAACATATCACAGGACTCAAGTAATGGGGCCTTCAAATATTCTATCCCACTAAAAAAAGTTCCGTGTCATGTACATTGATCTGGTTTACTATCTTCTTAATCTTTCTTGACAAAATTAAAATCATTAATATCTGCAATGTTTCAAGTATGAAAACTGAAATTTCAAGAGCATACAATCATAATTTTCATAAAAACTTTATATACCGATCACTTAATTTTAAATTAAAGATAGCGGTATGTATGTACCATATCACATTGCACTGCTAAAATTTATTATGCTTCTAATACGTATATACACATATTACAAAGCAACATTACTGAATTTTGTGCATTATTTCTAGCAATATCTGGTTGAATTTTTTTCCAATATTTTGATAATTAACATGCAGTTATTCTACAC